ACCCCCAGTTCCATAGTATCCTATGGTCCACATGACATATGTCCTCTATTCTGAGCAGCGAAGGCCCTTGGCATATCATTAGGGTAGGTAGGTGGTGAGGGAAGACTGTAGGCCCCAGTAGGTGAAGCCCCTTATGAACTCCTGAAGATGACCTGCACCCATCCTGTTTGCCCTTTGCCCCCAACCACCCATTCATAATTCTCATATCACCTTCGGGTTGTAGCCACATTCATAACCACAGGCAGTATTACTAGCTTAATCTTTCTCACTTCACTTGACTTTTTGCAAAACCAAAATAAATGTATTTCAAAAGAAAATTCTCTAAGAGAATAATAGCCATAAGATGGTAGGTTTTGGCTCGTTATAAGTTTCTATCAGTATAGTTTTTAAAATTCCTTTTTAAAATATTTATCTGTGTATCTTTTAGGGCCAACATGAATACATCCCAGGGCCAGCCAGATGGGCTTGGCATGTGCAATCATCCTGGTCCTACTTGGCTCAATACCCCATTAATTTCTCTCTTCAAACTCGAGTACTCTGTGAGCAGAGGTCCCTGTGTTTTCATTGCATCTTTGCCTTGTAGATAAAGCAGCTGATCCTGATGCCACATGATGCATTCCCCTCAGCCATGGAGAATGAGAAGGAGATGTACAGCTGTACAGTGAGGTCCCCAAACCTGCCTCTGCTACTGCTCATGTACCCTTTAACTCAGGAGTCTGCTCTGCCTCAGGCTGTGTGGCTTCAAGCTACCTACTCAAGCTTTGAGCAGTAGGCCTCTGTAGATAGAATGAGAAACCTTAGAAAATGCTGAGGCCTCAGCCCAGGACTGGAACCTCCTAAGGGATCACAGTCTGTGCCGAGCTTGTGTGCTAACTTATGACCCTTGAATTAACTAGTGTCTGCATTGGGCCCTGGGCTAGGCCTGAGGAGCCTGCATAGAAGAAGCAGCCTTCATCTCCAGGTAGACACTTTGCTCAATCTGGAGTCACCCCTAAAGCTCACATCTCAATACCCTAGTTTCATTCTACAACCTGCCCTCCTGGAGGGCAGAAGTCAGCCAAGTTGGCTTCTGTGGATATGTGGAATAGGCACCAAGCTGCTGCTGGATGGATAATTGAGGACAGGCAGGGCTACCATTGTCACAGTAGCTCATACTCAGCTCAGCAACACTCAGCAGCACTATGGCCCAGTTGTTTTCATTATCCCCATTTGTAGGGAGAAAACTAAGGCTCTGAAGACAAACTTGGCTTTTTCCAAGTCTCCTAAGTATCACAGTGGAGACTATCTGCTAAAGAGTTTGGGTTAAATACATGGCTTATTGCTCTGCATGGAAAGGAGCTGGAACATATTCCTGCCAGGGCTGTGCCATGCACCCCCAGGCCATCTTCTCTCTATGGCAATATGCTCCAAGGCAGAGTCCCTCTTGTGTCTTTGCTTGGTGCTGGGTTTACAGCATCCCCACAGACCACAGACCCCAAACTATAACCAGTACCACCTATTCCAAAAGATAGCACTTTGCAACAGCACTCTCTTCCTGATGGTGTGGGCTTCCTGGCAGCCAACAAAGCTGATGGGTGAGGTGCCCAGAAGTTCCAGGGATCATGAACTTAGAGACAGGGGTAAACTCTTAGCCTTTTGGGCCTACCTAGAAAGATACCACAAGTCTGTGGTCTATGTGAGTAAGCAGTGGTAAAAAAGAACTCTAGACTGGGGATCCCTAGCTCTCATTTTACTTGAACCAGGTCTCCTGGTGGATCCGAGAGTGAAGCTCAGGTTTGAGAACCCAAAGGACATCAGGACATCAAGAAGATGTCCCCACTGTTCTCTATCAAAACCTAAGGGTCAGGTAGGGACTTAGCAGCCACAGGGAGGGCCCATGTGATGGAGTCCCCTGTCTCTTTTAGCCCCGGGCTGTGTACTGCAAAGATGTGCTGGACATCGAGCAATTCTCCACTGTGAAAGGTGTCAACCTGGACCATACTGACGATGACTTCTACTCTAAGTTCTCCACAGGCTCTGTACCAATCCCATGGCAAAACGAGGTGGGCAGAGCACACCACCAGCTTTTCTCCAAGAGGGATGGGTTGTCAGAGAAGATGGAAGTGCAAGGGCAATGAAAGGCCACTGGGTAGGGCAGCAGAGATGGGCCTGGGTTGGAAGCCAACAAGGCAGCTGAAAGAACAGGTGGTGATGGCAGCCGGGTGCCTCCCCATGAGATCTGCTGGAAATAGGGGGAGATGGGCATTTCCTAAAAGTAGAAGCATTAAAGTAAGGAAGGCAGCTGATAAGATGCAGTAGGGACGATGGTCAAGAAAGCTATAGGAGATGGTTTGGAGGGGGAAGATTGTGTCTCTGGTGGGTTCTGTTCTTAGTGGAGTCCCCCAGAAAGTTACAGAGGAGCCCTGTTAGAGGAGGGGCAGAGCCAGGAGGGCAGGGGGAGGCCCCACAAGGTAACAGTGTTGTTTCTGTTCTGCCTTTCTAGATGATAGAAACAGAATGCTTTAAGGAGCTGAATGTGTTTGGACCCAATGGTACCCTCTCACCAGACCTGAACAGAAATCAGCCTCCGGAACCTCCAAAGAAAGGGCTGTTTCACAGACTCTTCAGGCGTCAGGTGAGAGAGCCAGCCTCACCAGCCTGGCCTTAGCTCTAGGACTCCAGCCCATTTGCACACACCAGAGATTCAGAATGTCCCTCGCCTGTGTGGCCTGGTAGCCTAGAATTACTAGTCCGCCTGTTCAAAGCTCCAATACCCCCTGTTGGTGATGGACCTCCTGGGCGCAGAAGAGACAGGGTCCCATGTCAACATTCTTGATACAGGGAAGCCAATTCTTGTCACAGGGCTGTGCCACATAGTGAAGGATATTGAAAAACATTACCAACCTCTGCTCACTAGACACAGAGGAAGAAAAAGTTCAGCACCTCTTCTCCCAGTGGTCCACTAAATATCCCCTGCAGGGCAATACCACCTCACACAGGGAAGCACTGTTCCATTGTTCAGTCCCCCCACACTAGCTGGCAGCCCAAGGAATTTTCTCCCCTTGGGAACAGACTTTGTTCCCTCAAAGCTTATCCCTGAAGGAAGGATTGATATGGAACAACAGCCTTGGGGAAGATCTGACAATCCAGAGAATGTGAGAACACAGGAGCCCTGCTCCATAGCTACAAAGGCAGCTGCAGTTGTACCTAGTTGGCCTAGCCCTTTAAGAAGATGGAGTCCCAGGATTCCCATCTTAGAACTTGGGAGTCTTATTCTACTTGTCTCTCCTCCCCTACGTCAGCCATGGCCCCTTGACCTGAACTCTTAGCTCTCTCCCTCAGGTAGCAAGGATAAAGATGGTGATTTAAAGAGATGCATTATAGATGAGGCCTGGCCTGTGTACTTGATATCCACACACCCCATCTCCCGTCCAATAACTCATTCATTCTACCACCATATCTTTGGCACACCATATACCAAGAAAGGGGGTCCTGGTGAATGTGGACTTCCATTGCTTTATTTCATTCAGTTAAGGAAACTGAGACTGAGAGAGAAGTCAAAGTACTTAACCCTAGGTCACACATCTGGTGACTTCACAGGATATCTGTTATCTGGGACACAGGGCAGGAAGCATCTTCAGCTCATGGGAAGTGTAGACTGAGCCCCGTCCGCTGCCAAGTTTGTGTGTTTTCCATAAGAACTTCATGTAAGTTTCATATCCTACTCTGTAGTATATTTGTGTTTTTATAATACAATGAAATGTTTAAACATTTCCATCAAGTAAACCTACAAGTTCTAGAAAGAAATTACCTTTTCCCTCTGCTCAGAGATTTAGGCTTTCTTAATTTTATGGGCCTTTCTGGGTACCAGATAAAACTGTCTCTTCAAGAAGCACACTGTAGACTCAGGTCTGCTGGGGAGAATGCAGAAAGCCAAAAAACAAAGAGAGGAAGGTTGGAACATTCTGGATTCTATTGCCCCAACTTCCAGAGCTACCTTGAGTGTGTCATCCATGGACTTTGAATTTACCAAGAACTGATTCTATCCATCTTTCTCCCTAGCATCAGAACAATTCCAAGAGTTCACCCACTCCTAAGACCAGTTGTAACCACCGCATAAATTCAAACCACATCAGTTCAAACTCCACTGGAAGCAGCTAGTTTCAGCTCTGGCCTTGAAGTCCAAGGTGGAACCATCTTAGACCCTTCTACTTGGAAGCAGAACTTGTAGCTGATGGAGCTTCCACTGTGGCTGGGTAGCCAGGAGAGCTTCCCTGGGAACTGGGTTAGGATACTGTTCATCCCAACAACAAGCCTCCAAGTTTCTCAAAGAAATTTCCACTCAGGTCTGTTTTCCAAGGTGGCCCCAAGCTGGGGTGGACTAGAATTTTCCTTGTTGAACATTGCAATAGAAACCCAATGGGATATGACAGCTTATATGGATTTTAATAGCATCCTAACTAGAACTGAATTTTGTCTTTATTATTTTTAAAGGAAAGTTTTGTAAATTTCTCTGTTGTCTCCGTTTACATTTTGTATATTTGTATTTAAATGAAAGTCAGACTTTGAGGGTGTATATTTTCTGTGTAGCCACTGTTAAGCCATGTGTTTTAAGACATTTTAGATGGGGGGGGGGTGTTACAAAAAATGTGACTCTAGACTTCCAGAGCCTCAAAAGAGAAAATGTTTTTATTAAATGTAGAAAATGTTTCACCTTTTACCTTTAAAGACCGGATTACATCTCCCTATATCCATCACTCTAACCTTTTCCTTAGTGTAGCTATCACTCTCCTGTTGACTTGTAACAATGTTAATGAAATGCCAAAATGCACTTGGGACATCCCTCCCCCAAACACTCTCTATGGGGTGGGACATCATTGGTAAGAATACGTCTGTGGGCAGGCATTTGACACTGCAGCTTCTCTTGTCCTCCTGCTGTTGGGTGTCTGGCATACAGTACAGGGAATCCTAAGTCCACTGGGCTGCAGATCTTGGCTGCTAAAGCCAGTGGTTTTCAAGAGGTTTCTTTTGTATTGGGGATTTCTACTCTATATTATTTTTAGTAGTGTGTACTGATGATAAGGATCAGTCATGGAAACCCAAGTGTTCCCAACCATGGGACTATGGAGAAGTGTGAATTGGGGGTCCATCATGAGCGACTACCTCCGTGCCTGTTTAGGCCTTGGCTGGTTAGTAAAGTGATCACTAGGAAATGACACCTTCATGGGGCCCTGAAGATTTGTTGGCTCATGTAACATGAAGGAAGTCATCTTTCCAGGCAAATGGGATGCCTAAGAAAAAACTTGTACTAGTGGAGTGTAAAACAATCTCATTGTCACTTCTCAAGGAGAGCTGGGCATCTCCAAGTCACAGGCAAGTCACTCCTGGAAGACTTGATGGACTTACCTTTCCAGCCCTGGCAAGTTGTTGCCCAGCCCCTGAAATCTGAGGAGGTGGCAAGGTACAGATTTTCTCTCACCTCACCAGGACAGGGTGAGTAGCTAGTCTCAATGCTCTCCTAGGAGAATGAGGCCCTGAGTATGATTCTGCCTCAAAATTTGTCTCAGCCACCAACTACTGGGGTTTCTTACAGGGTGAGCCAGGTGCTACCTGAATCAGCTCCTGTTAAAATGCAGATTTCTGGGCCACACCCCAAGCCTATTACTTGCTGATCTCATTTGTAGTACAGGCTGGTCTCAAATTAAAGATCCTCCTGCCTCAGCCTCCTGAGTGCTAAGATTACAAGTGCATACTACCATGAAATCTGCATCTTTTCTAAGCTACTCAGACCCTTCTGATGCCCCACAGTGTGAGAACCATTTCCCAGGCCTGTGGATATGACCATTCCAAATGTGTTTTTCTGAGGGACCTGATAACTTTGAGACTTGAGCCTATCGGGAAGAGAATCACAATCATGGCAATCTTATATGTTTGACTCTAAGCTCTCCCAGGGCTCACTGCTAGAAAGGAGCCTGGCCTCTGGGACTAATCATCCTGAAGTCAGTTACCCACAAGAGAGGAAACAGCCAGCTCTATGGTTCATGGTTAACCTCAAGCCTGGCCCCCTGGCTGCTTCTAAACCTTTCTTGGGCTGAATGTGAAGCAAATGCAAACAACCATATTCAGGCTCTACTCAGTACTTCCAGATCATCAAGGTATTGCTCATGCTTCTTCCTCAAGGAAAAAAAAAAAAAAAAGAATTGTCATCCTTCTGGGATGGTTACCAGCCCCAGCCACATGCAACCCCTGCCTCCTTTTTACAGGTTTGTTTCTATTTCCCTACCCAAAGCCATTTAACCCTCGCCAAATAGGTAACTAGGAAACAGTTTCTCCTTAGTCCTCAAAATCAAGGCCATGTTCATTTGCAGCAGAGAATCCCCAGGAAGCTAAACAGAACACACAGGTCTGGCTACCATGTGTTCCAATCACAAAGCCCTGAAAGACCTGTGCACTGAAATGTGCCTGAGTGCCTATGGGAGGTGGGGACAGTCTTTCAGTTTGTTTTGGCCTACTTATGGCTTCCTAACAAGAAACAGTGCCTGAAAAGTGTTCCTCCTCCCTGACTGCGTCTTCCTCATGCCCTTGTTTCTATAGCTGCATTTTTTAAAAGGTTTTTGTTTTTAAATGAAAATAAGCCCTCCTCCTTGTCCAGGAGAAAGTGTATATGGACAATGAATGTTGTGCATGTGAACTCTTTGCAGAAGAACCTTTCTTGCTTCAAATGTGGTATGTTTCTCACCAGATATTCATTCACCTGGAGTGAGAAGCTTCTCTGCTTTTGCTCTTTGGGAAATAGGCCTCTGTCTGCAGTAGGTAGGGTGGTCTCTGCTATAATCATTCTGACTTAAAATTGCCTGTTACACCCTTTATCAGGAGAGGTGGGGGAATATCACCCCCAGAATGTCAAGAATTCCTGATCCCCACCTCCCAGGAAGATGGTGTGTATCCTCTACTCGTTTTTTAATCCTGAACTACAAGGCTCCAAGTTCACTCACCTGCCTAGGGACAGGCAGCAGGAGGTCTGCCACTCATACCCAAGCAGGTAGCCCCAGTGATATGCATACCTGTCAGGCACTGGCCTATGATGTTTCTGATCAGTTCATATGCATGGGGACATGTGCATCTTCTTTGAATTAGAGGCACAAGTAAAATGGGAGTCTTCCTCAGAGCTGAGGCCAACCCCTGAGAAAGCCAAGGCTGGGAACTTTCCATGCTTCTCCAAGAAACTTAGCCCCAGTATTGAAATATATTATTTTCTTCTGGACCAAGTACTTTCTTGAAAGGCTGGCTCTACTTTCCAGCAAATTAACTGAGCTACTAACCTCAACACAGAGCAGGCCATGCAGCCCCCTGGCATTCTAAGCCTTGGCAAAGGGGATGGACAACTAAAGGTCCCAAGAGGAAAAGAAAAGGCTGATCTCAACAACACTGGGGTCTTCTCTTGGTCTATTGTGTGCTTGCTTTTCTGGTTGTATCCTTATCCACTCCCAAGTGTCTCCCATCTTCATAACCCAATACTCTGAAATAGGACCTTCTAACTTTGGTCTTACTATGGAAAGGCAGTATAAAGTCTCTTCCTCCAGACTACAGTTGGGAAGCCTCACCCTTTCTGTACCTGTTTGTACAACCAGTCACCCAGCTAGTGAAACTGACAGGTATATAGGCTGGATCCTTCCTCTGGCCCAAACTGAAAAGTCTTGACTCAGGACAATGATTTAACACGTGACAAGCTAGGTCACCCTAGGAAAGGAAGATGCTGGACATTGAGCATCTTTCCAGTTCATCCACCTGCCATTCCTATAATAGATCATAAGTAAATGTCGTCCATTAGAAGGGCATTGTGGCTACTGGCATCGTTATAATAATAACTCTAGTATCCAAAGGTTCCTTTTTTTCCCCAGGGATATTTTAGCATTAATGAATGAACGTGGTTCCATTTTGAAGGTTATTCTTAATGATAACAGCTTCCGTTGTATTGCTATGAACCTCTCATGTTCCATTCACTATGTCACAGTGCCACCATGTCTAGCCACAACCACTGTTGTTTTATAAAGACAAATAAATTCCTTAATGAATATAACATTGCATTTCTTTCCTTCTGTAGAAACAGTGATCTCTTTCATCTGTGTGACAATTGCCTGAAAGATGTTCATACTGACTGCTGTGGCCTCTCAGTTAACCTTTTCTCAAGTCAGTTCCACCCAAACCAAATCTGGCCCTCATACTGACCACACCAAGAACTGCCATCACATGGCTCAGCTCTGGTAGGCAGTACGTAAGAAGACCAGCAAAACTCTTACCAGACCATCAGCTTCGGGACCCAAACCCAGCAGGTTCTAGCCATGGGGACAAAGCAGAATAGGACAGGAATGCCAGGAGGCACCCATACTTGTGGGCTGATGAGCCTTTTACATGAGAGGCAGGCTCTTTAGAGAACATGGTTCAGCTTTCATGTATGGTGGCCAGATCTAAAGCCCAAGACCTTAACTACTATGTGGTCCTGAGGAGGCCATTGTAGGCCTTCTCCTGTCAGGGCTACACCAGGTACACATGGAGTGGAAGGACACATGGAGACAAAAGCTCTGTGTAGCTTCTGTCTGGCAGTGAGGTGGGTGGGACAAGAGGCTCGTTTATAACTGAAAAGGGGTCTTTCCTGGAGCGAGAGAAGAGTTGCTGAACTGCAGTACTGAGGAAACAATTAACAGGCACATGTTGCTGATCATGCGTGAAGACTTCCAAGAGAATGTGGAGGGACCCAGGAGAGGAAGCCCTCCAACTTAGAGATGCGAACCTCAATAGAGATAGTGGGAATCTTCCCTAACCCTTACAATCTAGAAAGCCCACTGCCCCAGCAGCCTCCCAGGCACACAGAAGCTGCCATTCCTCCTGACAGGATCTCAGGGAGAAACGTGGGTGTCATGCTCCTCTGCACCAAGGCTGTCTTCCTCATTATACTACTCTCTCCAGGCAGACAAGGAGAACAGGTGGGAGGAAGTGCTGCTCCACCGCCTCCATCACCCTCGTCACTTCTAACAGCTGTGCACAGTAGACGAGCACACTGAATGTCTCCATTCGTCTATGCCCAGGAAAGGCTGGAGGTGCTCCCCCCTCTCCCCCTGCCCCTCCTGGGACTCCAGGGAGTGCAGGCTCCGGCTGAGATCTACCCAGACCCCTGGAGATGGGGACAAGCAAGAAAGTTTGAGTGTTGAGTGCCTGTGGTGGTATTTTGTTTATGATCTAACAAATAAAGCTTGTCGAAAGATCAGAGTGCAAAGCTAGCCACACTCACTACTCAGCCATAGAGACCATGCAGTGGTGGCACACACTTTTGATCCCAGCAGCCACACTAGCTAACCATAGAGTCCGGGCGGTGGTTTTGCGTGCCTTTAATCCCAGCACTAGGGAGGTGGAGACGGGGTGATACGGCTGGGTGGAGAGAGTAATATAGGTGGAATGAGACAGGAACTCAGGTCTCTTTTTCAGTCTGAAGATTTTGTAGAGATAAGAGCTCTCTAGTGGTTGGCTGCTTTGATTCTCTGGTCTTTCAGTTTTCCCTCCTAATATCTGATTCTGGGTTTTTATTATTAAGAACAATTAGAATTCCTGTTATAGCAACCCTCAAGCCACAGCAAGTGAGGCTCTTGTACCACTGTGAACAGGGCTTCCTTGAGTTAATAATGGCCAGCCTGGGTTTAGTTGCCTTGTGGGTGCATCAGGAAAGAGGTCTGCTCAGCTTCCTGGAGGCAAGCTGTTTTAGGGTAGATACATTAGGGCAAGGAGACAGAGACAGGAAGATCGCTGGGACTGATTGGCCAACATAACTGAATCTTCAAGCTCCAGGTTTAGTGAGAGATCTTATCTCAAAAATAAGGGGAGAGCAAGTGAGGCATATGGCTGATGTCAGCCTCTGGCTCCCACATGCGTTCACACCCATGCTTCAGCACATGAGGAGCCACATGCATTCACACACATGCATTCACACACATGCATGGAGCCACATACATTCACACACATGCATTCACACACATGCATTCACACATGCATCCACACAATGCATTCACACGCATGCTTCAGCACATGAGGAGCCACATGCATTCACACACATGCATTCACACACATGCATTCACACGCATGCGTTCACACGCATGCTTCAGCACATAAGGAACAAACACACTAAACACAAATGACTGAAATTTTTACATAGCTGCTAGTGTTATTATTCCTTTCATTTACATCACATTTCTTCTAGATATTTCCACAGTATACACAAAAGCAGAGGAGGGGGAAAGCTTAGGGATTACTCTAGAGAAGTCTGGGAAAAATCAGCCAGGCTACCCCACCGTCTCAGTCCCCTGGAAAACCCAAGGGATCTGCATCAGGATAGGAGAGGAACCAGCAAAATTCCAGGATCAGGGCATCCCCACCCTGCATCTCATCAACAACAGGGCCAAACATGCAGTGCACTTGCCCTCTGGTAACAGGCAGCCTGTTTATTCAGATGAGGTTCTGCTGAAACCACTGACAAACGTTCTTTCATATTAGCAGAAACTTGGACAACAGAGCCGAGAAGAACTCCACTCCAAAGAGTCCAACCCTGTAATGTAGGTTTCTGGCTTGGCTCATGCCCTTGATCACTTCTGCTACTGCTCTTTAATGGGGTTAAAAATAGGGGATGAAGGAGAAAATAATTCCTTTTAGAATTGTCTACCATAGGCTAGTGCACTTGAGGTAGTAATCCCAATCTCATATTGGAAGTGGCCTCTGGATTTTCTATCAAGTGATGTTATTGGACAAAATCCACAGGCAAAGCCCTGATGAACTTTGAGGTCTGGTATTTCCTCCATAAGCCTTCTGGCTTTCTGAAGTCCTTACCTTTAGTTGATAAGCAAAACATTTCTTTATTTTAGCTCTTTTACTGCTTCACGATCATCAGTTCAGCATGCAAATTCTATAGCTCCAAGGTTCACGTTCAAATCCTAGTTCTTCAATTTATGCATCTGGAACAGCTTAGACAAGTTGCCTACTTGCTCTAAGTCTCACTTTCCTAATTTGTATGGGGTATAGTAATCATTCCTTTTCACCAGCAATAGAAGGACTTCGATAATTCACACAATCTGTCAGTTAAAGGCCAGGGAGATAACCCAGTTGGTAAAGTGCTTTCTGTGCAAACATGATGACCTAAGTTTGAGTTCCAGACCCACCTGGAAAAACTGGTTAGGCAGTGGCATCCACTTATATCCCAGTGGTAAAGAATCAGAGCAGATGAGCATCCTTGATGTTCACTGGCCAGCCAGAGTAGTCTACTTGGTTATTTCCAAGCCAGTAAGAGACTCTGTCTCATAAAACAAGGTGACTGACACATGAGGATGGCATCCAGTGTTGACTTCTGGCCTTCAACATGGATACATTTGTACTTATCCACATACATACAGCATGTATACCCAATAACATGTCTGTCAGTGTTTGGCAGATGGGAAGCATTTCAAATGTGTTCCTTATTACCACACATTAATGTCAGAGTGGGTTAAGCATTTACTGTCAGCATTCTGGAGGCCAAAGCTGGAAGTGAATTAGAGAATCCTGGTACCAGTGTCTGCAGTTCTACAGCCTCTGGGTATTGGGAAGTTCTAGAGCAGAGCTGAGGTCTGGGCTGATGGTCTGCAGAACCTGGGAAGGTGTCTCCTCCTTTAGGAGAAAGGCCTGTCCAGCTAGAGGTCCAGAAAGTGGGCAGGGCAAGCTAGACTGAAGCAGAAGGCCTCCCTTTCTGTGGTCTGGAGGAGGTGCCCGGCTTTCTACTGCCCAGACTACCTTTTGGGAATTTAGGCTCAAAAATATTCAGAGAGAACTTCTACCTTAGTTGAAGTTTTTCCTTTTGTGAGCTTGTTAAAGAAAACAAGCCTCAAACAATTCTTCCATGTAACTTCCCTAGACTTTCTAATGAAGACTGTGAGCTAGATTGAGGAGCGAAAACCATGCACAAGACTACAGGCACATCACATTACACAAAGGAGCACTCAAATGATAACTTAGAACTTGGCTTCAGAAAGCAACTTAACCAGAACACTTAATTTTCAGAGAATTGACAAGACCAGGAAAGGTACTTTGAGGTATGGGAAAGCAAATAAATTAGCAAACTAATGTGGCTAACGCCTGGTTGGCAATGCTACATGGATTCCTCTGGGGATGACCATGGGAGAAGAGAGGGGACATTTTTACAAACCCCATCCTGTGGCAAAATTGAGATTACACAGTGGCACTTACAAACCCAGCCCTACTTTGAGTGGTAAAGCTGTGCTTAGACCTGCTGTTTTTCCATTGCCTTGAGCTCCAAATAACCTTCATGCTAATAGGATACATTCTTCAGTCTGTTCTTACCACTGTGAAATGAGTCTTTCCTCTTCTGCCTCAAGAGTCTGGGCTAATCATCCTCTCACATGGTCTGTATACAGAGATGGGGGCCAGAGTGACAGATGATCCATGATTGATTCTCCTGCCCAACATGAAAGAAAACTTTCATTTCCAGTTCCAGCCAGAGTCAGACTCTGGCTGACGTCCGAAGTGCCATCACTTTGCCTACCTTTGTCATTAGCTGGACTGTGTTCTTGCTCTTTTTACCTGTTATTTGTGGAGCCCTGGCTGGCAACTAGAGCACATAAAGGTGACATTTTCTAAGAATTGTTACATAAGTACCAGTTTTCACCAGGGGGATCCTGGCAAATAGCACTCTTCACTTAGCATTTTTTGAGATAGAACCCCTAGGGTGCCTATGGTCCCTTATCTTAAGATGATAAAACTTGCATATCATTTACACATATTTTTCTTATATTCCTTAAATCTCTATCTTTCTTGCCATATACATTACAATGTATGTGCTTGTGTATAGTTGTTAAACTATGTTGCTTAAGGAATGCAACAAGAAAAGGGGTCTGGCCGGGTGTTGGTGGCGCACACCTTTAATCCTGGCACTCAGGAAGCAGAAGCAGGCAGATCTCTGTGAGTTCGAGGCCAGCCTGGTCTCCAGAGCGAGTGCCAGGATAGGCTCCAAAGCTACAGAGAGAAACCCTGTCTTGAAAAACCAAA